AATTTACCAGGCTAAAGTTTGATATTGGGAGGCAAGGAAGAGATACATGTAAGCAGAGGTGGTGTGGAAGCGGGTCAGGATCAGTACTACTGATCAGTGTACCTTGGAAACAACAGTGGTTATAATCAGTCTGGGGGACTGAGATCTTGCATCCATGACTTCATGGAAAGGGTGAACTTTGAGAAGGGATCTCGAGGAAGAGGAAAGATAGCACATGCTATGTGCAGGGAGAAAGCTTGAGTGGAGCCATTTACAAAAGCAAGCTCAGTTGGGTACTTGGGGTACATGTGTGTGTTGATGTTTTGGATCCTTATTCACGTGCAGAAGGGCAGGGTATGGTCAGACCTTAGGGTCCAGCAGCAGCTTGTAAGCCTTTGAGTGCCCTCTGGCTAGAGCCTTTGTGCCAAGTGCAAGGTCCCGGATAGGACAAGTCTAGTGTAAACACCACCCATTTGGGCTTCTGCACTTCTCTGCTTAACAAAAATAAAGGCTTAACAAGAGCCCTTATGGATCAGACAAAATACCAAAGGCCTGTCTAGCCCACCAACTTGTTGGCCATTGTTTGATGTCACATTCCTATCGTAGGTGCCACAGAGCTATCCTCACTGACTATCAGATTAACATTCAGCTGTTTGGCTCTTGATAAGCCTCATCTTCCGTAAATTCATTTAATACATTTTCAAAGCACTCTAGGTTTGTAGGACTCATTACTTTCTGTGGAAGTGAATTCCACAGTTTAACTGTGCTTTGTGTGAAGTTCTTTCTGTTATCCAGTACAGTCCTGCCCCGCTTTATGATTGCTCCGCATTACGACGAAACCACATTACAACAATCTTTTTGCGATCGCAATTGCAATCGCAAAACGATGGTTTGAATAGGGGAATTTCGCTTTGCGATTATTGGTTCCCTGCTTCGGGAACCGATTCTTCACAAAACGATGATTTTCAGACAGCTGATCGGCAGTTTCAAAATGTCCACCGGGTAAATAAAATGGCTCCCCACTGTTTTCTGGGACGGATTCCTCGCTGCACAGGCACTGAAAATGGCCGCCGTATGGAGGATCTTCGCTGGACGGTGAGTTTCCAGCCCATTGGAACGCATTGAAGGGGTTTCAGTGCGTTTCAATGGGCTTTTTATTTTCGCATTACGACGTTTTCATTCTACAGCGATTTCGCTGGAACGAATTAACGTCGTAATGCGAGGCACCACTGTATGAATCTTCCACAAAGCATTTCTCTACCCGTTTTCTCCACTACATCTGTAGTTTTTTGCATATCTGTCATATTTCCCCTTGCTTGTAGTAAGGTAATTTCTGTCCTACGAGAGGATTTTGCAGAGCAGAGATTCTGTTGAGAGCCCCTGACGGTACTGCTGGTGTAGTAGTATGGATGTTAAATATAACCCAAAGGCCAGTATGCATTTGAAATAGCGGAGACTGATTTAGAACAGAAGTTTCTGCCTCTTGCTTCAGTGAGTTCCTTACAGAAGTAGCCTGAAGAGTTTAATTCAGATTTATTGTCTTAAAGTAAAAGCTTCTGCCATGCACAGTTGCACTCGAGTAGCCAGGTGCTTCAAGGCAGTGCTCAAAATCTGAGCCCTTAATTTTCCCTTGCATTTCTAATAACTGATCAGTACTTCCTGAGCTTTCATTTCAGGTCTTTGTAACTGTAGTGGGTCAGAGACTAAATAAATGGTGGAGAGGGGCACATTACTAGCATTAACCGGGCTGGTTCCAGCTTTGCTGGAAGGGGGGAAGTGTTGGGCACTATGAATTAGGACAGCTTGTCTTTCACAATGTTGGAGGATGGAGGCTCAGTTGCTGACACAGGAACCATGAACCAATAAGAGAGGATTCTGGCTACCGTTTTTCTGTTTAGCCTTTTACAAAGTAGAGCCATGATTGCATGGAGCCATAAACCTCTTCTGCCGGCTTATAGGCGAAGAAGAGAGAATAAAACACAAGAACTGTTAGGGTGGAAATGAAGAGTGGAGTTGTAGACACCAATTTGTATTTTTGGATTCTTAGCCATATATAGGATGATTGTTGGTTATGAAGCTGGGCTGTGGGATACCAGCTATGCCTGTTAGGATCACTTCTTTTTGGTCAGATTTTATACGCATACATCGTCCCACAGCCATAGGATTCTGTGGATGCATTAGAAGTTTTTGTATATATAAAAAATAAAATAAAGTGGCGAGCTTCAGCCACTTTCAAAGCCAAAAGTGAATGTTTGTGTCAGCAAAATTTTCCCATTAATAAACTACCTTGCATGTCATTTTCCTGCAACTATTTTATTGTGGTATCCTATCAACTTCAAACATCCCAAAAAGAGAAAATGTACTGCTTTAATCAGCTGCTGTCTCGTGCCAGCTTCAATTTTAACGATGCCCCTTGATGGTCACTTCTCTAGGGAAGTACCTCAGCTTCAGTGGTAAATGACACCTTTAAAGATATATGACTTCTGCCTGGGAATTCAAAAGATGTTTTCTAATATGGTGGTGGGTCTGTTGCTGAAATGAAATTGGCAGGAAATAAGAGCTGTGCATACATTTGAACGGTAATAATCCTATGGCTTGAGTTGAATTGAGTTGATTGCCTGTTCCTTGTACAATTGATTTCTGTCCCCCTTCTCTCTGAAAAGCTTGTTTTTGTATATGTCAATTCTTAATACGTTGTCCAACTTTTCTTTAGGATACTGGGTTCAATTAAACTGGAGATGGGCAATACATTCTACTTCCAAAAGCTGAGAGCCTCTAACCATACTCTGATGGGGCATAACCACATTTTTAGTGAGACGTTGAGTCCTCCTCGGAAGTCCATTGGCAAGAGCTGTTGTTGCAAAAATGTACTATAAATCAGCTTTCTAGCTTCCCACTTTCAGAACTGATGAGTCCTTGAAGTCCATTGAGGAGTTATTGTTCACCAAACATGATATAAATCAGTTTTCAAACTTCCCACTTCACAGTTTCGTTTGTTTAAAAAAACAACACCCTATATATCTGCCCCAGAACCTTAGCAGGAAATTCAGGGGCACATTCTAAGATAATGTATGGAATAGCTTAGATTTATAGCACCTTTTCTGCAGTGCAGAAAGTTCTAGGTTCAGTCCCTGGCATCTCATTTTGAAAGGATCAGGGAGCAAGTGATGGGAAAGATTGCTGCCAGAAGCTGGCCACATGACCTGGAGGATTTTGGGGAATTTTGGGAGCTAAAGTCCAAAGTGTGTAAGTTTTTCCATAATCCTTTCCAAAGGGCAGGTAGGGATACAGGTCCATTTGGAAGAAGCTCTGGGGCAAGATTTGCTCGCTAGCTTCTCTACTACTTTGTCTCACGAAGGCTGCCAAGAGGTCTCTTTTTAAATTTCTAAACAGTGAACATACTAGTAAATGAAAAGTAAAAGCTACGCTAAAGAGACAGTAGAACAGAAAACATGAACAGGAAAGTAACGAGGTACATGGAAAGATCAACCACACACCCCTTCTGCTAACTGGGACCTCCTGGAGATTGATAAGCAGGTAATCCCTGAAACCACTAGAGATGCACCATTTTCCCAGGATCTGGACCTATTCTGAGCTTTCTAAGCAAAGTACCCATGCCGTTTTTAGACACCATAGCAGGGAAATGTATCTATTCATTAAACATTTCTGTGCACAGTCAACTTTTCTTATATTTACATTTCACTAGTTGGCAAAATGATAGCAGGCCTCGCTAATGAGCAAAATGATAATAAAACCGTATATCTAAGCATAAACATGTTTCAGAGCTATCCAGCTTCTTTGCTGTAATTACTAGATGGTCACCTTTGAACTGCTGCCCAGAACATCTGAGGCAAACAGGTTTTTATTTCCCAGAAAACCTTCTGGCACATAGATATTGCAGTCATGGGAAAGATAATAAGCTAGTTTCCTATCAGGGGTCTAAGCACTGGTCATAGAGGGATCGTTAATACATGCCACTAAACCTCCTTGCCATGACAGAAGTCTTCCGCAGAAACACTATATTCTCCTAAATAAGCTAACATTGTGCTATGGAATTGGATGCTCTCCTTCAGCTGCCCATTGTAGGGAAACACTTGTAGAAGTTAGACGAGGGATTTTTCATAACAGCAGAAGAAGAACCTTAAAGATTCAAACCAGATATTTCTATTTAGTTTAGTACCTTGTTGCTTCCATACTCTCTATTTGTAAGCTTTCCAAAACACTGTGGTGAATGGCCCATGGTTTTCCAGACAGAGAGGTTTTGATTTCTGGGGATAGCATTCCACCATCACATTTACAGATCTCATTGGTGCTATCCTCCATAAATTCATCCGATTGTCTTTTTTCAAGCCATTTTAGTTGGTGGCCACCTTGTGGTAGTAAATTCCACAGTTTATGAAAATAGCTTTCTTTTGATTGTCTTGAATCCCCCTCAGTTTTGACAGTTAGTTGATCCCAGGTTCTAGTGCTTATGAGAGCTGAAAAACTTCCTCAGTATTCTGTGTCTAGTTTTATGAAACCGTCATCATATCCTGTGACATTTCTCCACCATTGCTGGTCTTCTCCATTAAGAGACCTCCATTATTTTTCCACAGTCCCTCAGGTTCTTTAGACTGAGTAGGCACAGCTTAATTTTGCTCCATCTTGATTTACATATTTGATGCAAAAGAGTCGTTGGTTTCCTACTTGTATGAAAAATATGAACCTTCTTTCCTTCTCTTCACCTTTTTGGTCTGTTGTGAATTGTCCTGTCATGTAAGAAAAAGGGACATTGTGCGTCAGAATATTTCTGATAAAAGAAGGGAAAAAAAACTTATTCAACTCGGAGGCTCGCAGTTGAAATTGGCTGGATTGAACCGGGGGCAGTTTGATTGTGTCTGTGTGTAACGGTAGTTGTTGAGACATTCATGGATTGTCATCCTTTTGAGTTTGTCTGTAGAAAAAGTGGTCAGGACCTTCACCAGCTTTCTTGGGAGTAGTTCGAGGATTAAATCAGTTCTGTCTTTCTCCCCTGTGAATAGGTAGAGGAGACATCCAGCCTCAGCTAGACAGCGCCTTACAGGATGTGAACGACAAGTACCTGCTTCTAGAAGAAACAGAGAAGCAAGCGGTTAGAAAAGCTCTGATTGAAGAACGTGGCAGATTCTGCACATTCATTTCTATGCTGCGGCCTGTGATCGTGAGTTTCGTTGTCTTCTGTCTTTTTTGTTGTGTAAAAATGTTAATGAGCCCTTGAAGGGCATACTTTATGTTTTTAAATATTTGCAGCTACTTTTTAGGGGGTCATGTCTTCTCTGAGTGCCTACGGGAAAAGGAGTGAGATAGGGTCCGGTAGAAATAATATGTATCTAAGAAATATACACAGTATTTGAGAAACTGTTTTCAGATAAGAAGTTGCCAGCCTTCTCAAATAGAGACATTTAAGGGGAGAGTCTTGAAGGCCTATCTGAAGGGGGAAAGAATAGCTGAACTGGAAAATTCAATGCTGATCCTGCAATCATCAAGAAGGAATATATATATTCCTATATTCCTTCTTGATGGTTGCAGGATCAGCATTGAATTTTCCAGTTCAGCTATTCTATGCACTGACTGCATCCCATTCTAAAGTGTGGGTGGGGTTGCCTGATTGGGATGCAGTCAGTGAACACGAGGCTTTCAATCAGTCAAAGACAAGGCGAACAGGAATGGAAAGCAGAGTTGATTTATCTGAAAATTTTCTGTACAGTTCTGCAGTATAAATATTTTCAGACTGGCTTCAGAAGTAAAAATGAAATAAATGCATCATTAAAAAATGATAAATAAACATACTTAAAACAGGCAGAGATAAAATAATAACAGATGTTAAAGGCGAGGGAAATATTTTTTAAAAATGTTTTTATTTAGCTTCTAGATGATAACAGATAAATTCCAGATGAGTCTTTCGGGCGAGGGGAGGGGGAATCCCAGCTTCCTTTTAATTGGCCCTGGTTGCCATGGGCACTGTCACTAAGAAGGCACTTTACTGTAAACATGTCAGGGGCCTTGTAGGTGGGGATTTCTTGAGTAGGGAGTAGAGAGGATGATAAGGAGAACATGAAGGGAGTATTTCAGTTTGATACCTATATGCAGAGTCTGGAATGTGCACCATTTCAGACATGACGTTTTCCATGTCAGGCTCTTCCCAATTGGCTGCATATACACTAACAATAGACTTTGTCATGGGATCAACCCCTTGCTACCTCATAAGGCGTGCTGCCACTGCTCAGAAGTGTTTCTGTACTAGTTCTCACCTTGGTTGTATCTTGTGCCATCAAGTCAGAACCAATTTATAGTGGGCTTTCAAGGTAAATAAAAGATTTAAGAAGTAGTTTTACCAATTCCACTCCTCTACGCCTGATTTCCCATTTACCTTGAAAGCCCTATACAGGGCTTGGTTGTATCTTGTGCCATCAAGTCAGAACCAATTTATAGTGGGCTTTCAAGGTAAATAAAAGATTTAAGAAGTAGTTTTACCAATTCCACTCCTCTACGCCTGATTTCCCATGGCTAAGGGGAAACTTGAACCCAGGACTCCTGAGTCCTAGTCAGCCATTGTACCCGCTGCACCACACTATTGTATCTTTTGTTGTTTAGTCATTAGGTTGTGTCCGACTCTTCGTGACCCATGGACCAGAGCGTGCCAGCCCCTCCCTCCATAGCCTCCTGGAGTTGGGTCAAATTCATGTTCTGTACCCGCTGCACCACACTATTGTATCCTTTGTTGTTTAGTCATTATGTTTTGTCCGACTCTTCGTGACCCATGGACCAGAGCATGCCAGCCCCTCCATTGCCTCCTGGAGTTGGGTCAAATTCATGTTGGTAGCTTCAAATTCCCACTCAGGCATGGAAGTTCACCTGGGGTGTGTTTGGAACTGATAAAAACACTCGTTATTGTATCTTAGCCCTTCTCAAATCCCCGCAACCTCCAGCTAATAGATAATTGCATGTCATCAAGTTGGTTCTTACTAATGGCAACCTTTTCCAGGATTTTATAGGTATGGAGTACCCAGAAATGGTTTACAGTGGTGTCCCGCATAGCGACGTAAATCCGTTCCAGGATAACGTCGCTATCCGGATTCTTCGCTATGCGGGGGAGGACCCATAGGAACGCATTAAATGGAGTTGGGGGGAAAACTCACCGGTAAGTGAAGAATCCTCCATCCGGCCGCCATTTTCGCCGCCTCGGTAAGCGAAAACGCTTCGGGCAGCCTTTTTCCCCCAGCTGGGCGGCGCTGGCTTCGGAGTGACCGCGGGGGAGGGTTTCCCTCGTGGTCCCTCCGAAGCCAGCGCCACCCAGCTCGGGGGAAATGGGGCCTATGGGAAAAAAATCGCAAAGTGATTTTCCCCCATAGGAAACATTGCAATGCGATCGCTTTTGCGATCGCAAAATCCGCATCGCTATGTGGATTCTTCGTTAAACGGGGCGCTCGTTATGCGAGGCACCACTGTACCAGGTCCTTTCTTTTGGGGCTGTGAGGCTTGCTGAAGGGTAGACTATCTGCCTCTTCCCCTGGGATACACACTGGGGGATCAAACTCCTGTCCCTTAGACCCAGCAGCTGGCTACCTAACTTACTGAACTGTTCAGATAGATAAAGTCCAAAATAAGGGTAAACTCCAAGGTATGTTTGTTCTACTTGATGGTTACAGACCCATTCCTTTCTTTTGGGGCTGTGAGGCTTGCTGAAGGGTAGACTATCTGCCTCTTCCCCTGGGATACACACTGGGGGATCAAACTCCTGTCCCTTAGACCCAGCAGCTGGCTACCTAACTTACTGAACTGTTCAGATAGATAAAGTCCAAAATAAGGGTAAACTCCAAGGTATGTTTGTTCTACTTGATGGTTACAGACCCATGTGATCATCCCTTACATAAAAATGCTCGTGAAAAGAGGACAGAGGTCACATAAGTAGAAATTTATATTGAACTTGGGGCTCTAATTCTAAATATTTTAAAAAAATATCAGAGTGCAAGTTCCACTGAACACATAAGGACTTAGGTCTAAGCAAACAGATGTAGAATTATACTGTAAATATTTGAAACTGCCAGGACACCCACTAAAGATGACTTTGTTTTAGCAAATGGCTGACCGTTCCTGGGAGACACATAGATTCACACTTAATTTCCTCCAGGTTTTCACCATTACAAAAATGTAATTAATAGACGTGGGAGCCTTTCAGTTTGGGGTATTGCCAGACTGTTGAAATTGAAGAAATGTCAGTGTCTTGTCATCCATACCTTTTCTCTTAAGCTGAAGCCATCAAGATCAAATTTACTTTAATCTTCCCAGATGGGGCCTTCTCAAAAAAATCCACTGGTGTGTGTACCTGTTCTTAATAAAATGGCATTTGTAGAAGGGGGGGTGCAGGTTTTGTGCACATCCACAAATACCCAATCCGGTATAGTGGATGGAGTGCCAGACTAGGACTCATGAGGCCCAAGTTCAAATTCCCACTCAGTTCACTTTGGGGTGTGTTTGGAACTGATAAAACCACTCCTTAAATTACCTCACTTACCTTGAAAATCCCTTTAGGGTCACTGTAAATCAGTTCTGACTTGAGGGCACATTACAACAACACAGATATGACGAAATTTAATGTTATGGATTCAGAAACATGCGTACTCTTCCAGGAAGAAGAGATATCAATGCTGGGAGAAATAACTCATTTACAGACTATATCAGAAGATTTGAAAAGCCTCACTATGGATCCTCACAAGCTGCCACCATCAAGTGAACAGGTTGGTTGGACTGAGAAGAGTCTTATCATTGCTTTCCACTGTGGCTATCAAACTATGTAACAGTGGCTACTAAACTCTAAAATAAGCATAGATTTAAGAAAAACTACTTAGGGTGTAATCTCTTGAGAAATAATGTCCACTCACAGTTCCCTTTTTCTCACTTCTTGCATGGCTATCTCCGCTGCTCTAGGTAATTCTAGATTTGAAAGGTTCTGATTATGGCTGGTCTTATCAGACTCCTCCATCTTCTCCCAGTACCACCATGTCCAGAAAATCCAGTGTGTGCAGGTAAGCAAGAAAGGTAATGGCAACGGTTTCCAGGGGTGGTTGGGTATGTTACACAATTCCCTTTAAAACATACTTCTGTAAGCTTTATGCTTCATCATTGGTTCTACTTGAATCCTAACCTTCCTTTGGAAAGTTCAGAGCAATTTGTGTGGGGCTTCCCAGGGCGCACCCAGGCCATTAACCACATCCACATCTGCTGCTGTGGTTTTTCAGTGCTGCAGCCTCCAGTTATCTTCCATCCGTCCATCACGTTGGGCTCACGTCCATCAGTATAAGTGTGGAATTCTCATTCTCTGCCTGAATTTTATTTGGGGGGAAAATGGATAGAAAGAGGGGATATGTGGGCCTAAATCCATTTATACCCCTAACCAAGTAGATACATTCAGTCTCTGGGACGTAACATCAGAATTGACTTTCTAAGTCCCATTTAAGACCCAGTGTGTCATAGAACCGCCTGCCTAGCGGTTCGAAAGCATGCAAATGCAAGTAGATAAATAGGGACCACCTCGGTGGGAAGGTAACAGCGTTCCATGTCTAAGTCGCACTGGCCATGTGACCACGGAAGATTGTCTTCGGACAAATCACTGGCTCTATGGCTTGGAAACGGGGATGAGCACTGCCCCCTAGAGTCAAACACGACTGGACAAAAATTGTCAAGGGGAACCTTTACCTTTACCTAGTGTCATAGAATCCTAGAATTGGAAGGTGTATAAGGCCATTGAGTCCAATCACCCGCCCAAATCAGGAATCCAAATCAAAGTAGATCTGACAATGCCTCCAGTATTGGAGCACTCACCAAGGCCCCAGTTAATTGGTTCCATTTTTGTACTGCTCTAACAGTTAAGAAGTTTTTCCTGATATTCAGCCTAAATCTGGCTTCCTATAACTTGAGCCCATTATTACATGTCCTGCACTCTAGGATGATTGAAAACAGATTCTGCCCCTCCTCTCTATGACAGTTTTTCAAGTATTTTAAGAGTGCTAATCTATCTCCCCCCTCAGTCTTCTTTTCTCAATGCTAAACATGCCCACTTCTTTCAGTCTTTCTACACAGGGCTTGGTCTCCAGTTCTCCAACCATCCTTGTTACCCTCCTCTGAACGTGCTCCAGTTTGTTGGCTTTCCTCTTGAAGTATGGTGTCCAGAACTGGACACAGTACTCTAGACCATCCATTCTCAACCTTTTTTCAGCCATGGCCATAAATGAAATATAAATAAATATAGGCTGAATCACGATTGCACAAGTTGCATAATGAACCTTATAAGGGTGTGTGTGAAGAATTCTTTCCAGTCAGTGGCCCCCCTGCAAATGTGCCAGGGTCTTTCTTGCAGGGGGTTCCTGTTGAGAATGGTTGCTCGACAATACCTAACCAGTGATGAATAAAGAGGGACTAATACCTCACAGGTCCACTTTAGCCAGAACATGGCCTAGAGGGCCAGGCAGGATGAAATGCTAAGGGACAAAGCAAGACTGCAAGATTTTCATTAAAAATATTTGTATCAACTTAAATAGATTTCTGTGATAATTGCCTTTACAGTGGTGCCTCGCATTACGATCGCTTTGTTTAACGATGAAATCGCATTACGATGAACTTTTTGCGGTCGCAAAATGATGTTTCCTATGGGGGAATTTCGCTTTGCGATGATCGGTTCCCTGCTTCAGGACCAGGGAAGGTGAAAGGTTGGACACCCCTGCCCTAGAGGGCCAGGCAGGATGAAATGCTAAGGGACAAAGCAAGACTGCAAGATTTTCATTAAAAATATTTGTATCAACTTAAATAGATTTCTGTGATAATTGCCTTTACAGTGGTGCCTCGCATTACGATCGCTTCGTTTAATGACAAAATCGCATTACAATGAACTTTTTGCGATCGCAAAACGATGTTTCCTATGGGGGAATTTCGCTTTGCGATGATCGGTTCCCTGCTTCAGGAACCGATTCTTTGCAAAACGACGATTTACCAACAGCTGATTGGCGGTTTCAAAATGGTCGCCGGGTAAATAAAATGGCTCCCTGCTGTTTTCTGGGATGGATTACTCGCAAGACAGCCACCGAAAATGGCCGCCCTGTGGAGGATCTTCGCTGGACTGTGAGTTTCCAGCCCATCGGAATGCATTAAACAGGTTTTAATGCATTTCTATGGGCTTTTTAATTTCGCTTTACAATGTTTTCGTTCTACAGCGATTTCGCTGGAACGAAATAACATTGTAATGCGAGGCACCACTGTATTTGAGTTTAGGGTTTATCAGAAACTATTTGTGCTTATTTTGACTTTTAAAAATGACTATTATTATACTTTCATATTTAACTTTAATTTTAAATTGCAACGTGATTCTTCATTCTGTTTTATAGTTTGGAGGAGGATGAAGGAGAATAGGGTTTCACAGAGAGAACGTGAAGGCAGAACATTTTAGAAGTACTGCACTGATACAAATAATACCGATCTTCTCTTGAATATATGCTGAGATGTGAAAATGCTAATTGTTGAGGTTTATTGTGGATAGGCAACCATTCATGATGGTTGATAGAAGCAGGGGTAATTTGCAGCTGAACTTGTGACTTTTCCAGTTACCCATTTAGGGAATGCTGTTCTCTCTGGTTTGTGAAGCTGAGTGATAGTTACAGTTTCTTCTAACTTTTCAGTGCTTTAAAATATTTGAATGTATTTATTTCTCTTTCAACTTGTTGGAATAAAACTCGTAATGTATATTGCACTAGCTCTTAACTGTTCAGCACTGTTTTAATTCAGTCCCCCTCCCCTGCAAAACAACAACAACAACAACAACGTAGATATCTCTTCTCCCTTTTCCATGAAACTGCTTTCTCTTTGCTAAAACAGTTTAGCAGCATGCAATCCTTCCCACTGTCCACTGTAGATACCTCTTCTCCCTTTTCCATGAAACTGTTTTCTCTTTGCCAAAACAGTTCAGCAGCATGCAATCCTTCCCACTGTCCACTCTCCCTATCACTGGTGTACAATTCTCTCCTTTTATAAAAATCTTTTTTTAAAGAAAAAAAAAGGAAGAAATGTTGCTGCGTGTCCTGTTCTTGTATTTCTTTCTAGCCTCGGATGCTCTTAGTTTTATTTTTATTTTTAATGTTAATGCTTGCCTTCCAAATCACATGGATGGGAGCGCTGCAAGCACCCTATGGCATGATTAGACCAGGATGCCCTCCTTGCTTTTCCTTGTGTGGCTAGTGTTCTGTGCATGCACATGTATAGCATCTATAGACAGAAGATCTATAGATATTTATACTGACAGCAGTAAGCACAGGCTTTTTTAAAAAATGCAATATCCTGAAAAGTAAAAGGAAAATGGCTGGCTGTACAGTCCTGGTAACTGTTGAAACTACAACTCCCATAACCCCTCAGCTAATATGTGCCTTTGCTGGCTGGAGGATTCTGGGAGCTGTCGTCCAAAAATGAATTTCTCCGAACTCCAGGTGGTGTTAACAGCAAATGGCACTTGCCCCTTAAAATAAATCCATAGGGAATTCCATCACAGCTTTCCAGGGTGTTTTTTTTTTTCCATTCAGTTCTGCCCTTAGTCCCTATGTTTGAATCAATCCAGTATAGAAGTGGCAAGACCTTGAAATATAAAGTGAGTGATCTTACCCTGTCCCTACTCATCAGCACCCCTTTGCCCAGCCTTTCTTTCAGTAGCAGCCACAAAGTTTGGTTGAACCCATTATAGGCTCTGAAACGGCTTTGTTCCAAACCCATGCCCTCCGTATGTTTGGCGTGAGGAGAATTTTAACCCGTTTCGTGTACGTTTTTCACACATCTGAAGAAGAAGTGGGTTGAAGGTCCTAGAAAGCTTTTACCACATAAAGCTTCTTTTCTTGAAGGCACCACAAGACTCTGCTTCTTTCTCCCTCCGGATTTTGCCCGTCGATGGGCTTTCTGCTGAGCTGTCTTTTGAATTTTTCCACCCTAACCACTTGTCCATTTCCAGCCAACCCTAATAAATAACCTAAGATTGTATGGACTTGAAAGCAGTCACTCCGCTTCCTCAAAAGAATGGGTTGTTCTGTTGGTAGGCAAGCTGGGGGTGGGAGTGTGGGCTGAGGGAAGCAACCTTTAAATCCCCCCGACCATCCTGGTCTACTGGAAGATACAGTACTATTCTAGGCCAGGATCCAGTGGTGGCGTTTCTTGATTGGAACTCCCTCCAGCTACCTAATCTTCTCCAACCCCCTCCCGCGCTGTGCACTCTCAAAACTGGATCCAAAAGGCTCTGTAGCAGGTTCATCATCAGTCAAGCTTGGAAAAGTTCCTTTTTTTAGACAGCAGTTCCCATCTTAGCCAGTAGAGGTGTTCATATCTGTCGTTTTGGCCTACGGCATTCCCCATGTGGCCACACCTCTACAAGTGCTTGGATTTAGAACCCAACAAGGGGGTTCTTTTCCAAAGCTCTGATTTTCAGGCAGTGTTAAGGGCTGCGGAAGTGTGGAAGGGGGGGAGGCGAGGAAGTGTGATTGTGCAGGTGTGTATCCCTGCCGTGTTGGAGGTAAGGCTTTGCCACGGGCAAATCCCACCTAGCGCAGAATCGCAGCACTGGTTCCCCTCAAACTTATTTTGCCATTTTCCGTCTGGTTAGTAAGGATACTGCAGTTCCTTACAACTCTTACCAGTAAATTTTTTTTTGCTGGTTATGCCATTTTATGATTTGGGCTGCATGCCTTTTGCAGGAGAACCAGGGAATGTTAATTGTGTTGTGCTGGTCTCTCCCTTCCCCAACCCTTTTTGTTTGTTTGTTTGTTTCTCCCTTTTCTTTGCCCCCATTTCTCTCTCTCTCTTTCTCTCCCACCCACCCCCCACTCCTTGTGTCTCACAGCAGTCTGAACAGTGTTAACAGTAGTGACTCCCGGTCAAGCGGCTCGCACTCTCACTCACCCAGTTCACACTATCGCTACCGCAGCTCCAATCTGCCTCAGCAGGCGCCGATGAGGCTTTCCAGCGTTTCTTCGCACGACTCCGGATTCATGTCCCAGGACGCGTTTCAGTCCAAGTCGCCATCCCCGATGCCACCAGAAGCCCCCAACCAGGTATGTCCAAAGAAAGTCAAAATGAACATGGTGTGAGTTCACTGTTTCAGTTAATATTCCCCAAAGAAACACAGCTAGGAAAAAAATGCTTTTGAGGCTTTGGGTGTGTGTGTGTTTATTTCATTTTAATGGCCTCTTCCAGGTCATATGGTTGTTTGCCAGCCAACTCTCATTTATTGGTAACAAAACTGGATCTGAGCCTAGGTTGAGAGTTTGGCTTGTGGCCAGCAAGCGGTAAACACAACCGTTACCTCTTGCCACAGCAGCCAGAAGTTGAAATGTGGGGGGCTCTTTTACATGTTGCAGAAAAGAAGCTTTCCCTCTTCCCATCTTTGTGTTTCACAGTGAGTTGATCACACCTTTTCTGTAATGTTTTGAAGACACAGAGTAATTGTGTTTCAAAACAGCCTGGTAATCACGTATTTGGAATTGGTTGGAAAATACAAACCTCGGAGTTGCCACTAGCAGAGGCTTCCCCGGGGTGGCTGAGCTAAAATTGTTTAGATCTCAAGAAAGTTGTTTTCTAGATTGCAACCCTCAGAATCCCCCAACGTCACGCTGGATGGGAGGATTCTGGGATTTGGAGCAGCCCAAAAGTAACGTCTCCAAGCTCTGAGTGTATGTACACATCACCTATTCAAAATGCCAATAATAATAATAATAATAATAATAATAATAATAATAATAATAATAATAATAATAATAATAATAATAATAATAATAATAATAAAAGAGACCTTCTGAGAAGGTAGTGAGGAGCATGGCTACAGCTGTTATTAGCTCTTGAAGGAGGGAAGCAGAATGTATTCCAGTTGTGGTTGATGATACCAAAGATCAAGTGGCACATGGCTGATTCCCGAAGACTCCGTCAAAGATGATATGTTAGTCATTGCTTAATCCATGGATATCTTGGTTCATTGTCAATAGCAAATTACTTTCTAATGAATTGTTTCTCAAGTCTGTATTGGCAGTAAGTCTATACAGTGGTGCCTCGCTTAGCGATGTTAATCCGTTCCAGGAAAAACATTGCTAAGCGATTTAATTGCTAAGCGATTTTTAAAAGCCCATAGAAACGCATTAAAACGCGTTTAATGCGTTCCTATGGGCTTCAAAACTAACCTTATGCGAAGATCCTCCATGGGGCGGCCATTTTTGGTGCCTCTAAAGCGAGGCAACACAGCGGGTGGCCATTTTGTTTACCCGGCAGCCATTTCGGAACCACCGATCAGCTGGCCGAAAATGGGGGCTTTGCGATGATCGCTTCTCCGCGATCATCGCAAAGCGAATTTTCCCCATAGGGACCATCGCTAAGCGATCGCTCTTGCAATGGCCAAAACCCCATCGCTAAGCGATTTCGTTGCTCAACGGAGCGATGCAAGGTGGGTTCCACCTAGAACTAACAATATGTGGATTAAGCAAACCCATAACGTAACTTTTCAGTATGTACTGTAAGTGGTAGCAATTGCTTGCTCAAATTCACCCCTTCTCCTTGTATTACAATCAGGCAAAAAATAGCAAGGAAAGGAGAAGGATAGGCTGGAAATCTATTCCATGAATTTCTATATTCGCAAGTGGTCGTGGGATAGTAATCCAGTGTGGCTAGTGTATTCAGTTATGCAATTTTCCCCACATAGATACTGTGTTAATATAATCCAGTAAGGACTACTGTGTCACATAATTTTTGATAAATGCATTTTATTCTGACTAAGGATTCTTAAATTACAGAACTCACAGGGCTACATTCCACTCCCATTAAAAAGCCGCACTGTTTTGCTTAAAACAAAAACTTAGTTCATATTGTAAATACTTGTTAGAGAAGCAAACTTCCCATAGACCTTTGATTGGATGCAGCTGCCTTGAGTGTGTTCTTACGGGCCGACCTGGATTTGTCTCCGCAATGCTCAAAATGGCTTAGGCTGCCAGTAATACTGCTGTGAATTCCCCCCCCTTTTATTTGCAAGGTGGGTTCCACCTAGAACTAACGTACTTGTACAAAGAGGCCCAGCATTTCTGTAAATGCAGGGTGCATCACCATTGATAATGATGATGATCCAGATTCGTGAAACTGATTAAAAATAGAATAATACAGAAAAAATGAAAAATATGGTACCTTTTTGAAGTTGGTCACAATTTGGACCTCTGTTATCCTAACCTAGTTCCATGTGGAACTCTGCTTACTAGTGTAAAGAATTTGAAACTGTTGAACAGTATTGGTTGACTGCAGGATTGGAAAAGTTACTTTTTGGGTTAAGGCTTCCAAATCCTCCCAGTGAGCAGCATGTCATGCTAGCTTTTGGGGTATGGTGGGAGCTGCAATCAGAAAAGTTTTCCAAGCTCTGGTTCTCTGAAATTGTTGTAGGGAATTTCATGCGATGTTTTTGTCTCAAATGTTTAGCTAATTTTTTAAAAAGAAAAGAAAAGAAAGCTGCAATTCTTCCCACTTCCCTCCTCCTTAACTAATTTCTGCATGGGAGTAGAAGGGATTATTTTCAGTTTTGCTAGTGTTTTTCTACTCACAGGCAACACCGGTTGCTGAATTGTCAAATTTATTGAAAAGTTGTTCTAACATGTAAATAATATGTCACGTGTCTGTAACCAACTGATGGATGCTTTTCATGAAATTGGCGCTCCAAGGGCTGTGTGGAAAAAAATAATTGCCTTAGGGTGCCATGTTGCCATGTTTGAAAGCAGAATGCTGTTTCTAACAGTAACACTGTAGTGGATGAAGCCGACATCCCACTTCTGTTGACACTGCTTTATATATTTTTGTTTATGTGAGTTTTGTTCTTTGCTGCTCAGAGGGAGAGAAGAAGGCCATAAAAGGAAGAGATGGGTCTTTAGGATCTTGTATATCAAAACTATTCCGTATCATTGATAAGTTTGGAGTTTGGGTGGAAAATGCAGTCTCATTACAAAAAGAGTTGTATGAAGCCTTACTTGCTAGTATATCTTTTTTAAAAAAGTCAGCTTCGTGAGTCAGGTTATAGAAGCATTAGGATTCAGGGACACACATGGAGAAATCAAGGTTCTGACTTTTGGGGTGAGCTTCCAGATAATAGGTGAATTTCCCCTGCACATTTGGCCACACTCCACATATAGTTGGTGCTGAGAAGAGTGGAGAGAGAACATTCAAGCCACTCCTTCTCTTTGTACAGAGATCTTGCAGAGATCTTTGCAGTGCCTGCATAGAGCTTTGGTATCACTGCACTATTGATGTTTTCCTAGCTCCCAAAATGTTTTGACCCTGATTTGGAGAAACTGTACAGCATGAGAGGAAGTGTAGGAGGTACAACAAAATGTAGAATCCGTGGGAGTCCTGCTGACTCAGAGGCATCAGTTGTCGAGGCTCCATGAAGGACCTCTGTCAGCATAACACAGGAACAGTTGGAATATTGGTTGTCTGCAAGTAATATCTCATGAGGTTATCTCTTCTTATGAGGGAATTCATGGGAAAGAGTTGTGTCAGAATCCAGATTACTGATTTATTTCCTCAGAAATATCTTTGTGCAGTAGCTTTCAGGAGTCTCGTTTTCTGTTTCTGGTTCTTCCTTGACACATCCACGTGGCTTTTCCAAGCCCAGCACAGACTATTATACAGTGGTGCCCCACAAAACGATCTTAATTTGTTCTGCAAAAATCGCTGTCTTGTGAAATGCAGTCCCTCATTGGAATGCATTGAAATCCATTTAATGCGTTCCAAAGGAGAAAAATAGTCGTCGTTTTGCGAAAATCGCCCATAGAGAAACCGTTTGGCGAAGCGCGGATCAGCTGTAAAAATCGCTGTCTTGCGAAAAACGGTCCTGAAAACACTCATTTTGTGAGTCGTGGACTCAGCTGTCAAAATCGTTGTCTTGCGAAAATTGGTCCTGAAAAAAAACCCCGTCTTGCGAAGCATGGTCCGAAACATCGTCCAGCGAAAATCACCCATAGGAAACACCGTTTTGCGAAGCGCTATAGTGATCGCAAAAACTCATCGTCTAGCGAATTAACCGTTTTGCGAGGTAATCGTCTAGCAGGGCATCACTGTATTTTGTTACCCTAAATTGAGAATAACCACTTACGAGTACCCAGTGTTGTGGCATTTTGGCACCACAACTTGTAACTCCTGCCCATCTGGCACTCCACTTTGGTGACTGTTCTGAGGATATGGAACCCATCAGCGTGGCTGCTCTCGCTGTTGAAAGGAAAATGTCAACAGGGAGTTAATTAGGTTGTGGTTAGAGAGGAGCGCAAGTCGTGGCTTGGCTCTTCAGACGCACAGCTGTTCAACGGGCGCCCTGGCTTCCCTTGGCTTGGCTCCTCCTGAGAGCGCCCACTCAGAGGTTCCTTCCAAACAGCTGTGCCTCCAAAGCACCAAACTGCAGTTCTGCCCATCTCTAGTTGTGGCATCATAGATATTTGTTCCCTGTGAGACAGTAAGGCTCTGCCATTTAGACCCCATGGCTTTCCTCTCTCCTGCACAATTACTGATCAGCATCATAAGCTTTTGGCTATGTTTAATGATTGAATTTTTTTCTCCCTTTAACCCATCCTAACACTCTGCTTCTTTCCACCTTCCCTTCTATATGTATTTGTCCCTTTGTGCTTTGTTGGGTTTTGTTTTGTTGGCTTGTCTTTTTTTTGTTTTTCCTTTCTTTCCTTGCTGTGTTCATGGTGCTACTTTGTTGTCGTGTTGTGTGTTTTGTTTTGTTTTGTAAACCCAGCAGAATTCGTCCAGCTCGGCCTCCTCAGAAGCCTCTGAAACCTGCCAGTCAGTGAGCGAATGCAGTTCCCCCACCTCAGTCAGCTCAGGCTCCACCATGGGGGCTTGGGCCTCCACCGAGAAGGTGACAAAGGCTTCATCTCTAAAAACACACAGCCACACATTTCTTTGGTCTTCTAAGGCACTGTGTCTGTCATTTAGAGTGTGATCATTTCACAACAACATGTGGAGGAGGAGAATATACAGATGAGAATGGAAAACCTTCTTTACTCTCCCTTAAATAATCTGAATGGAGGAATAAAGCAATATTAGAAACGGCCTGGATGGAGCCAGTTTCCGATTTAGTGTGTTTATCTATCTATCTATCTATCTATCTATCTATCTATCTATCTATCTATCTATCTATCTATCTATCTATCTATCTATCTATCTATCTATCTATCTATCTATCTATCTATCTATCTATCTATCTATCTCTATTT